GTTCGAATTGTATCAAGTAGAGGACTTTAGCTTAAGTTGGAGTGGCTCAAGATATTGCCTTAGTTTGTTCGAATCATATCAAGTAGAGGTCTTTAGCTTGAGTTGAAGTGTCTCAAGATATTCCCTTGGTTTGTTCGAATTGTATCAAGCTCGTAAGTATAAGCATGCATTGGCCCATCCATTATTAGTAATTTTTATTCAATCAATCATTATTCATGGTACGAACTTGTTCCTCAAAAATATTAAAGTGTTTTAGAACATGACAAGAAGACAAACGAAAACTCGATTGCTTTCAACAATTTATAAAAGATTCTTTCATTCATAAATTAACAAACTGAAGAAAATGAAAGTTTTCTCTGATTTTAATGATAGTTACATCAACGTAACAAAAACAACAATTTACACTGATATCCACCGTTTCTTATTGAAATCGTCGGAATCACTAAAACTGTCTTTAAATTTACAATGGCAATGAATATCTAGAAAACTTGGTTCGGTGGTCTTTCGTTCTAGTCACACCACCCCAATTTTCATGATACTTCATTCACAATAAAGCATTGCTTTCGTGCAATATCGGCGAGTTGTCTTTACTTCTCTCACCTGTTTTATGTGCTGTTAGGATCAAATATTTCAGATATATTCCCTTACAGTTGCAGTAGTAATATCATACAATGCCTGGACATTCGGATGATGAGGGCAACCAAAGGATCGATTGTCTTGATAGGTCCTGAACCGTTTTGTAGCGTGGCAAAAAAAATTCATCAAATCTCATGATAAGGCACACAAACTACTGAAACTAAGAAGAAGCGACCCATGTTTAATCACCGGCTTCAACGCGGATCGTAATTCTCTCAGACACCATCTGAAAAACACGAGTATGTTCGATACCGATTCGTGTAGATTCTGCCAATGGGCGAGTGAAACGTTCCATCATATCCCATCTGAATGTGAGAGTATCTGCAAAATCAGACGCCATGTTGCTCGGTAGGTTGCTCGCACTCACAGATGATGGCGGGATTTTGTAAAAATCCTAAAACTGGAAGGCTAGGGGCATGGGCGAGCACAATAGATCTTCTAGATCGCATTACATCTTGTCCACGTGCAATAATTTTTATAACCTCTAATCTCTTATTACCAAACTCAACTTTTCTCAATTACTAATGATATCTTAGAGCTATTTGAAGTTGATACCAATGGAAACTACTCGATGGAAATTCGATTGAGCATATTTTGTTGTTAAATAACATTACATGACATTCTAAAGATTTGCTTTAAATAATTGACTTTCCTAAGATGTTTTAACTCAGTCGTGGTCTATTGGTTCATCCTACGGAGTTGCGCTTCATCCTTGAACAATTGCTCAACTTATTTCAGAATATAATCTAAATTCCTTTGCCGTACGGATCTAAATTTTGCAAAACAAGACTGCCTGACAACATAATTTAGATATAAACAGATTTTTATCATAATAAAATTGTAAGCAACAATTATATGAATCAAAACGGGTGATCACAATTGTTAAGATGCATTTTACATTTCAATGCAATTTGCAATAGTAGCGGTTCGATCCTGAACGCTTCGAATTTGATCTGTATCTTTTTTGGTTGCATTTTTCTTAACTAAAATCAAGGATTCCCAAAAGACTTAACGGAAAATAAATAAATTAAATGTGCATCGCTTTCTTTATATTTTAGTGACCGTTTCCCATACTACAAATCAAATGATGATCGTTGGAAAAACTCTGTACGTCATAATCTTTCGATAAATCCGCATTTTCGTAAAGGAATCAAAGCCCCACAAGGTGCTGGTCATCTGTGGACAATTTCCAGTGGCGACTCTGCCGAGAATGTATTAGCCTGGGAGCATGTAAATAAATGCTATCGTAACTGATCAAATCATAAAAAGTTTTCAACTATCTCTTTCAATTTGTAGAAAAAACAACGATTAGATTTATTCTTTAAAATGGAATCAATTAATCGTGAGCGTCTTTTACAACATCAACAGCAGCAGCAGCAGCAGCAGCAGCAGCAGCAGCAACAACAGGAGAAACATAATCAAAATTGTGAGCATAAACAAGCAAATTGCCGAGAAGATCAATCAGCTAGTTGTGGCATGTACGACGAAGCCGCTATAGCAGCAGCCGCCATACAACAGGATATGATGCAGCGTCAACAAGAGCAACATCTCGAGTCTCTTTCTAATTCTCTACAGCATAGCGGTAGTATAACGTTAGATTCTCCCGGTACTCATGCCATTCAATCGTTAACCTATAATGATCTATTAAGCGATGAAGAGTTACGTAAAACAGCAGGTCAAATATTGAACGGTATACATCGCGAGGTAGAAGTGCAATCTGTAAATCAATCTATTATTGGCACTTATCACGATGTTCTACTAGATAATGGTAAGGAACATATTAAAATCTTATCTTATATTAAATAATTTCACAATATATTTGCAGAAGATTATTTAAATCCAATTCATAAAGATGTGGCCGTTCACGAAAGTGGCCTGCAACAATCGTTATCGTCAGCTTCGTCCGCTGCCTCTCAGTGCGCAACAAACAGTAATCACAGCTCGACCCAGTATTATATAACTGAAATTGATGGTATGGATTTGGGCGGGCCGATGTCACAACCTAACGATAACAACACACCCACAACTGAAGAATCGGACACAGCGCTATTTAGCGACGAGTTCAATTTAAATTATTTCAGTTACGCGGCTGTTAATGACAGCATTTCTTGACCCAGAGAACCAACAACATTAATAAATCATCACCATCATCCTCAGCAGCAACTGCAACCCCTTTTAGTGGTGTTACCTCATAGCAATTAAAAGCATTAGCAAAAAAAAAAAAAAAAAAAAAAAAAAAAAAAACAAAACAAAAAAAGAAGAAATTCATTATAGTATAACAAGCTATTTGAAAGACACAAACTTTTAACGTAAATGGATGAAGATGTTAAGTTAATTATCTAGTCCTTCTCTACATTTCGTGTGTAAATACTGCATATACAATATATAAAAATAAAACTATAAAAATTTTATTACTCGAGGTTATTTATTACAAGTTAGTTTTTTTTTTTTTTTTTTTTTTTTGGAAATTTAATATTTACAGTACGTTGACATGTTGATTTTAAGGAAACACGATATAGTTCTTACATCAATCAAGGCAAACGAGAACCAACGAATTTAAAATTACATTATCATTATATGTATATACATATATATATATATAAATATATATATATATATAAATATATATGTAAATTTCAGTTTTATGCAGTTTTGTGAAGAAAAAAGCTCAAACTCCCAAATTTGGACCAGCGTACCAGCACAGTATTGTATCTAATGGAGAAGCAGAGGGAAGATAGACAGCACACGCTTTGCACACGCTCCACATTATTAATTTGAAATGATTTCGATACAGTTCAACTAAGAATTCACCTTTTGCCCCCATAACACGCCTATCAATTTCAATAACAGGCTTACAAGTAAACTCAAATGTATTTGAAATACACTTAACGCAACGCTTAATAGTCATACTTTCCCCTCATTATTATCTATGATCTTTTGCCATTTTATCGGGTAACTTATGGAAGGGAAATAGTCATCGAACTGTTTACGCATATCTTTGCAACTTCTGTGAACCGCTGAACTGCGAGATATGACTGCGTCGATCTGAATAACTGGCAATCCAGGAGACGCCTGATCTGCAAAATGCAGCAGATACATTAGAACTTTCCGTACCTACACTAAAAATTGTTTCTTTGTTTTTGCTTATGGGGGGGTGGGGGGGTGGGGTAAGACAAACGTATGCAAACTTTTGTCATTTTCACGACGACAATTTTGTGCCAAAAATTTCGCAAAAAAATGTTGTATGTGTTTATGTGGCATTATCACTGCAAGCCATTTTGAATCATGTGCGAACCTTTGCCTGCCATTTGTCTAGAGTGATCCAGTTAAAAACACAAAAAAATACAATTCCATAAATGACATCCATCTCTTTTTTGATATACACTGAAGGACAGCTCGTAAAGAACTGAAACTTTTTTACATTGTTCAAACATCAATATCAAAGTCATCCATAGCTAAAATTTTGGGAAAATTGAATGCGTCAGATACGTTTTATCAAGCAGCCATAGGCTACAGTCAAGCAATTACACTGAAGATATATACGTCGGATGGAGAAGTACAACTGAAATGCTAAGAAATGTAGCTAAGAATAGATTTGGTTTTAAGCAAAACAAGCCGAAGAATCAATAGAGAACTGATAAAATATTGCCATTTATGAATGAAAGAAGAATATACCTGCAATGCTATATAATACGATTAAAGATACGAGAAGTAAACTACTTATGAATCGAAAACCTTTTATGGGAAAATCATTTTCAATTAGCGAGCGGCAACTGCAACTTGCACAAGCAATTAAAGGAAACTTTTCCGCCAGCAAAGAGAAAAAATGCCAGCTATTCTGATGCATAATCGTAATGAAATCGTCATCGGGACTAGAAGAGAAAAATGAAGATATAGGAGATATAGGAAGATTATATTCATTAATTATTTGCAGATGATACGAGGTCTGTAGACTTTCCAAAATAATGATCAATCATCATTTTACGGGGCCACGCATTTTATGAAGAATGAAATAGGAAAAGCTACAAAAAAAATACCAAAAAAGGACAAGACCATAAGTAACGATGAAATATCGACAGAGATTATAGAACTGATAAATGATGATAATGTGGATATCCTGCATAAATTATGTGATGAGACCTATGAGACAAAAAGCCATTTATCGTGATGACTGGCTAAAATCATCATTCATCGCATATCCAAAGAAGAAAAACGGAAAATATCACAATTATTGAATGATTGATATTCGTGATGAATTATGTGTTGAAAATATTTCTAAGAATAATTCAGCAAAAGGTCTACGGTGCGAATGCGAATCATCATTACTTGGCTGTATTCAGTTGAGTTTCCGGAAACGCGTTTACACCCGAGAAGTTTCTATTCGGCATTCATGTTCCAGTGCACAATCGTAAAGGCGTTTTTCCTCTTCTTCATAGGTTATGAAAGAGCGTCTAACAAAGTACAGTATGACAAATTAATCAACATCTTGAAAGATCTTAGTATTGAAGATGGACAAATTTGTTAATGTGTCGCACAATTTCTTGCTTGATCACCGTGCGCAACAATCATCAAGACGGTAAATTAGCTCTAACGTGCAGAAATCACTTGATCAAATATGTGAACAATTAGCAAAATCTTATGAATACTTCTCGCTTCTACTGAGGCAAATCTGCAGATCTTCGCCATATTTGAATATTAGTTAATGTAATGAAGAAACTTATGTATTACATTTTATAAAACAAATACAATTTACTACATATTTCATAGAGCTATCTGCAAGTTGACAGAATCCATTATCGGCATTGTTAAGAGATTCAATATCAACAGTGGATCGATCATTCATTCGGATAATGCTCACTACTAAACTTATTATAGCTATTTGGTATGCAAGTTGTTGTTGTAAGTTATATTATCAATAATATTTTGGCAAATTTTTGTTATTTTTTTTTTTTTTTTCATTTTGTTTCTTAGCTTTTTTATAATTTTGAACAGCTTATTTATTACATACATATCATCAAATATTGGACGTTTGTTCAAGATTTGTTTATGAATACTCTCTCTCTCTCTCTCTCTCTCTCTCTCTTAAGGAGCCCCTTTGCTATATGTTACTTATATCAGATGATCGCTACAATCATGTATTTACCAAAAATCTGAACATGTTCGCGTTTGGATAAAACAAACGTCCATTTTGCTACGCCTACAACGATTTAAAATATTATAGGATGATCAAGAGATCGAATACATACTAATAATTAATAATAATGATGATGATGATCTGTACAAATTATTTTGCTTAAATCAAGTTCAGTGAGTATGAATTCTTATGTGCACATTTATGTATTTATTACGCATTTACACGGAGTAAATAATGAATGATTGACGGTATTTACAAATTTAACTTCCATGTATATGCGATAATATAGTTTCAATGTCTATGGTTTGCATTTTTGGAGACACACTCTTATTACATTCCTTTGCACATCCATTCTTAGCCTCAGCATCCGATGTTTCCCTGCAAAAAACGAAGATATTACATTAAAGAATTGTAGTTTTTTTGCGATCAATTTATTTTTTTTTACTTACCTTCCTTCACGTTGCTGCTTGCAAGTATCATTTTGTGACGTTAATTGCGTTTTGCTGCTATTCTTTCGAGCAAGTACAGGTGTTGAGGTAGCAATTGGTGTTCGAGATTTCGGAAAGCATACTTGTTTTCCATCAGCTTCTTTACCACGCTCGTCGTTAATACGCACCTTTTTAAGCTTTTTAGCTTTGCTTCGTTTAAGTTTTTGTGTTTCGTCGCAACAAGAATTTGGCTCGCAACTATATAATAATATAGTTTCAGTTATGCTCCAAGTATGAATTTCATTTTGATCAATGTCTACATGCATTTTTACATTGGACAAATCATATTTTATGGCTGGAGGCGGCGGCGGTTCATCGGGCCCTTCATATTTTATGCAAATAAAACGTTTCGTATCAGTTTCGTCAATGCTAACTAATTCGCAATCCTCGAGGATATCATCATCTTCATCAACGACATTTAAAGAACTCCCAATGTTGCCATCATCACAGGCAGATTTTGCTTGATCAACATGATCATTAGTAGCGGTGTCCTTTCCATTTAAACATTTTTTATTTATGTTATTGTCATTGATTTCAACAATTCCCGTTCCCGTTCCCGTTCCCGTTTTTATCTTTGTTTTGCTCTCGTCACTATTTTGAGTTTGCCTTTTCGCTTGTATTTTATTGTCACTTTTGCCTGATTCCCTTTTAATTTTCTGCGAAATCATGTAATTTTTCGCTTTTACATGAATTTTTGGCTTAACCGGCGCTTTCATCGACTTTAAAGGCCTATCTTCATCTTCATCATCATCATCATCATCATCATTATCTTCCGTATCTTCCGATAATTGTTTTTTCCGCCCTTTGCTTGTAGATAATTTTTTCTTGTTATTTAATGGCTTTTTCACTTTGACTACAGCAACCTTTGGTTTACTAACCTTAACAGTTATCTTACTTTTAATCGGTGACGGTTCAATTATTGTCTTCTTACCGCTACGTTGTGTTGTTTTTCGTAAACGCGGTGATACTCGCAATGCTGGGGCTGCAATCGATTCCTTCTTTTCATTTAATAATTTTTGAGACGTCAAAGCCACTGTTTGATGGCCACTTTTAAATGATAGTGGAGTTCGTACAAATTTTTTACCGGGAGTTTTGCATATATTGCGTGTAACAGGACGTGCTTCTATAGGTAGACAACGCCTTTGAGGCGGATGATTTGAATTAGTCATCGAATGACTTAAACGCAATCGCAAATTTTTATTTTTCGACTCATTACTGCTTGCAGATCTTAATACAACTGTTTTCGGGATTTGTTTTTTCGCTGATAAATTCAAAGCTGTTAAAACTTCCATAGAACGTTTGCTATCCTCTTGGGTTTCATAAGAGTTGTTGGGAGTCGGAGTGCGAATGGGTGAGGCGGTCGATTTTTTACCTTTGTCACGCATTGCATGCATTATTCGCGTTGCAGACCGCGCTGCCAAAATATTGGGTGCTGCTGATGAACCGCTGTTCGCTCGATCTTTCTTTTGAATGAAAGCATCAGTTTTAAGCTTTTCCTTGAGACGTTCGCGTTTCATTTCTAATTCTTTGGACTCTTTATGTTTCTTCTCTGCTGATTTTAACGGTAAAGTCACTTTAATCGTGGTTTGTTTCTCGATTTCTTGAGAGCAGTTGCCACCTTCAAACCGATCTACCCTATTGGTTGTAGTAAAATTTTCCTTAATCGGTGTCAACCAATTTCGTATCGGATAACGCACTTCACCCTCATTGCTGATAAGCTGTGAGTTTTCATCATTATCACTTAATTGTAGCTCTTGCCATTCGTCGCCTTCGGTGCTACTAATGCTAGACAAATTGTCTAAATCTGCTAAAATTAAATTGGATGAAGCTTTCTCCTTAATTTCCTTAGTTTTCGAACAATTTGAACAATTTGAACTTGATGAAGAAGATGAAGAATCTCTTGACGTGTTTGCTGAGGAACTAGAAGACGACGACGACGATGTTGATGATGACGAGGAAGACGATGAAGAATCTTCATCTTCGGCAGCACTTATTTCTGGCAGACCAGAAGCCAAAGTATAATGGGGATCAATGTCTTCTATTTCAACTTGTTCTGATCCCAAAGGCTTAACTCTCTTTAAGACATCGGCTTCAATTCGTAATTTTTCTACCGATATTTCAACTTCAATTCCTTCTTGTACATTGTCGACTGGTTCTAATTTCTCGGTTCCTTTAATCACCTTTACGGATTCGTCTTCTTCATTCGGCCGCTTCAGGGAGGGCGGTTTCTTTTGTCCGGAATTTTTCAGTAATTGATCAATGTTTTGATCTAAATTTTCGCTTTCATCTGGTTTGTAATAAGATCCACCCCCTGAGGAGTACTCAATATTACTGTTATTTCGGGGGGGTGTCGTACCTTCCTTCAAACCGAATGTTGTAAAACGAGATCCTGGCGTTACCGCATTAAGTAATGGGGTATCGAGTTCGCTTTTCGTAATAGATCCAAACAAAAAGGACGCGGAGGCACTCATAGCATTGTTAACATCATTCAGTTTGGCTGACGGTGTATTCAACGATGGAGCAAATATACCAGGAGTAGGCGGTATATATGAAGGACTGTGCACTTTAGACGGCGTTTCTAACAAGACACCAATATTGGCAGTAGATTTCTCATATTCTACAGTATTGCCTTCAAATCGTTTACTGTCAGCCTCCATTTGTACCTCTGTCACTTCTAATTTTGCCTTTGCCTCCTCTTTACTTTTTTCACTTTCTTTGGCTTTTTGCGGTGTTGGTATTTTAATGTTGAATTTGCTATGCTTGTCTTTAATTTGGGATTTATGCTCGTTCTTATCCAATATTTCAGTAGAGCCGTCCAGAGAATGATTTGCAATTTTAAAGTGACTTTCATTTACATTGACGCTTCTTTCATTTTCACGTTGCTTGTTCACCGCATACTCGTCAATTTTACCGTCCATACTATCCAATTGGTCAAATTCTATCGATTCTTCTGCCATTGCAGCTATTTGCTTTTCTTTTCTCTTGAGAGCAGCGGACTTTCTGCGTCTTATTCTTCTTTTCGTGCTTATTTTACGTCCGGGTTTCAATTCAGACATTTTGGCGTTCTCTTCGCGTATATGCATATCGAAATTGTTAATACGTACGTTACGTAAACGACGCCATTCTTCTACCGCTCCAATCTCAAAATTTTTGGATTTCGTTTCCTCGCTCTCTAGTTTGTTGTTAGTTTCGCCTGAAATCGTATTATCCTTGCCTTTCTTAATGACTTCTCGAGACGTTGGAGGAATTTGCCTTTTACATGCTCTGACAGCATTCTTACGTGATTGTTGGCGTTTAGGAGTATTATCAATTGTCGAATTTGCTTCCGATTTTATGGAGGTGCGTTTTTCGGCCAGTTTCGATTCTTCTCCGTTTATAACCGTCTGATTACTGCTCTCTTCGTGAATGAACAGTGGTGGTACGTTGCAACTGCTCGAACTATTTTCATTAACGATATGATTAGACGTTGCCGATATAGTAGGTAAAATTTCCACATTTTTTATAATCGGTTTTTCAGGTACGGCCATCGAAGTATCTGCCTTGGAATTAGATAGTATTTTATCATCTTCTTTAACATGCTCAACATTGACATCTTGTCGATTTGATATACTGAAAGTTCTTTGGAAACGGTTTAAATGCTCCCTACGTGTAGACAAAGGTGTCATTAAGGTACCCAAGCCAAGCTGTGGGCCCCTAGGCGAAAAAGTCAACGTACGTACATGTGACGCTCTTTTGCGTGGCGTTGATAAACTTTTGCAGGCTTTCGGATTGATAATGCCACATGCGGGGGTTGTCTTGTTTCCCAATAGATAACTGTTTGCAGAAGATGGCGGTTCACTCGATTTAACGATACCTTTATCTTTTTTGATATTCGTCGCTTGATTGTTTTGATCGTCGATCGAATTTAATTGCATATCAACAACAGGCTCAGGTAATGCCATGGAATCCTCGGCTAAGCTACTATTAGTCTGTAATTGCTGCCCGACTATTTCATTATTAAATAAGAAATTCGTTATTACAGCGTCATTAGCTAAGTACACTGGAAATGTTAACTGTCCAGTGGCCGAATCAAAATACAATTGATCATCTGTACTTTCAGTTATGCTATTAACAGAAGGCGGTAAGCAAGTTACTTGACTCAATATCTGATTATCGTTGCTGGCGATTCCCAAGTGCGGTTGCTGTGATTGTTGTTGATGCTTTTGAGCGCTCTCGTTTGAATTTAAAACAATCAATTTCGATACAGAAAAATTTGGATCTATCAGTGATCCAAATGAATTATTGGATATTAACTGATTATTTTCCTGGGCGTTCGAAGATGTTGCATTAGACGTAGCTGCTGTCACTGCTGTACGTATAATTAACGGAGTACGAGGCGGTGCGTTATGCGTCGATATGTTTAAAACATCCGAACAATGTGGATAGCTTAGGTGTGCAAACGATTGAGTAGGCACCAATGGTGGGGGTTCAGTGGAGGCATAAAGAGATTGTGTCCCGGGCATGTTACATTGTACAGCAATTGTTTGCGTTTGAGGGCGTGCAGTCCCTGTTTATAAATTAATCGAATTTTTAAATTAATAAAGTAAAATAAAAAATATGAATTGAATAAAAATCAGTTATGATAGGTTAAATAAACTAAATTAAATTCTAAAAGCGTGTTTGTGTTTTCTTTTAAAAAAAAAAAAAAAAAACCATATTATTACAATATATTTATTTAATACTATAATAATAATTTCTTCGACTAAAATAAGATAAGCGCTAAGCAACTAAGACGTTCGGCTCTCTATAAGAACGAGAGCGCGAAAAAAGAGACGGCATGGTTTAGTCGAATCATTTCAATTATTAGAGTGCCATTCATACGTCGACCTGTGCCCTAATGTTATTGAACAAGGGACTACATAATCAAAATATTAACTGTAGATATATATATAAATTCAAAACATGAATAGAAGAAAAAAAAGCATTAATAACAATACCGAATACTTTAAATGCGGATAAATTTTCTCACAATCGTTAACACGTTAATTATTGTACCGTTTTTTGTTAAAAATTTACACTTTAGTAAACATTTTTCTTAAATGCATAGATGAAATGTATGTGTGGATGAATTAATAGTATGGATTAATATAGAGTAATCAATTTCGCGTTATACGCTTTTTCCATTTTTTAGAAATACTCATCGGCTGTATATACATATTTGATCAACCTGTTTATTTATATGTTTTCTCTTTTATATCTGGCGCTTGAAGTAATTGATATAAGCCCCAAATTTTCTATGAAATGCAAGAAGTTCGCCCCAACACTACTATTCCCATCATTATCATCGGATGAAATTCAAAAGGCAACCATCTGGATCCGATCCGCTTAATTAAAAAGAAACTAATCAATTCGCCTCATATTATTACTTTGCCTTGTTAAACTGTCCATGTTAGATTCGAATATTTCAGTTTAACCGGTTCAATTACCAAACGGCTTGTGTAAATAAGACGAACTATGCAAATTTGGTTTTTAATTTAAACGATTAACTATAACACCTTCCATAGTTTTGCATTGTAAAATGTAGATGACGCATAGCATCGAGTAAATGAATGTAAGCTCTTCTTGCCACCAAATATCGTACATAGGCAGCCTGGCAAAACTGAACTAATTGCATTCGTTTCGAATAGTTTTGACGATTTTTTTAAGTTACATCATCTCATTATAAAAATCAAATGTTACTTAGGCATAAGCGTACCAGTGCATAGAAATATAACGCAATATGCATACATCGCTGATACGTAGATTATCGTCGTATAAAGACTTGTAAAGGTATTATTTATTTATTTATTAATTCTTAGGTAATAAATAATATAACCAGAAAAGATTTTTATAAAACAATATATTGGAGTTCTAAGTAAATCTATCGAATCTATTACGATTCTTGAACTTATTCCAATACATGCTTTAAAAAAAACTCAAAGTTACATTTTTTGTTCAAGACAAGATTGTGATTTCGAAATCTTGATTCCAACAAATCGGTAGAACCGAGTTGCATTTTCTACGCTAATAAATAATTTACCGAACCTTCTTTAAGCATCACAAGCCATTGACAAATATATATAATATACTCCGTGTGACAAATGAGCAATATCATAAAACTTACATGCTTCTATGCATTCTTCAACAATGGTATCATAGCTGGGATCGTTTTCGGTAGCTTCCAATATATCTTTCACCATATTATCCAATACTTGGCTAGGCAGAATTTGAGGCTCGGTTTCATAATTTGCATTATTATTTGGAGAATCAGTTTTCGCTGGCTCATTACCTTCAGTCTTACGCATCGACTCCGAATTGTTATTAACAGAAGTGTTCAGTACCTGATTAATATTATCCGCGAGCTTTTGTTGAAATTCAGAATTATGTAAAATAACGTCTGAAATATCCTAAAAATAGAAGAACTATATATTAATGGGGCAAAAAATTAAGTTTAGCTTAAGCTGTGAAATGCCCATTTTCTCTTTTATTAATTACAAACATTTAAACTGCTATTACCAGGCTAACGCATATTAACCGCTAGCATATATACTTAATTATTGAACAAAATTACATTTTGTGAATTCTAGCATTAAGAATGATTTTTGTTCTGCACGAATTTGTTTCATCCTTAGATGCCTAATCTAAAGTATGCATTAAGAGAAAAAACATAATTTAAGAAAATTCTGAAATTTTGCAAAACCTTCAACAATTTCCTCTACGCGAACGCAATTTACGCATGTTATCTAAAGGCGATGTATGTCGTAGAAAAGGAATTACGTATACACAGTAATTATTGAAGTTAACTTACCGGTAAAATGGGAGTTGAAATAGTAGCTTTCTTTGTTGACTTGCCAAGGGGGGTTGATTCGTTCTCATGTTTCTCTTTAGTCAACTTATGGTTCTCACCCTGTTGATCAGTATCACTAAGCTCTTCACTTGTCAGTTCCTTCAAGTTCTCGATACTGCTTGTTGAGCAGCTCTCCTCATCATGTCCTCTATTTATTTCATTTCGATGTTGTTGTGCACTTCTTGGAATAAGGAAGCAATAAGGTTCCGAAATCCGGCGTCGCTTATAACTTTCACGGTTTATCGAATTTTCATTTAAAGAAGCTTCTAGTCTTCTTTTACGACTAGGATTCGCATTAGTTTTTCCTTTGTTGCTCTCTTTGCCGCTGCTTAACCTTGAACATTTAGGCATCAAATGTTTGGAGGTACTAGGTTCATCCCCAAACCGAGTTGATAAAGTCAACTCACAATCTTCTAAAATTGCAATGACTTTATCCGATAGCTTATATTTCTGCGAGTCGAAATCTACAATTGCTGTAAACTTCGGCCACAATTGCTCAACTAAAAATATTGCAAGCTTTATTATAAATAACTGCATTAATAACTGGACCCATACCTTTAATTGATATGTTCACATATTCACATATTATCTCCTCCAGTTTAGGAAAGAACGAATGGGTTAGTAAACATTTTTTAAAAGCTGTGTATTCTTGTTCTAAGAATGGCGAAGTTTTGCAAAATACATGCGAAGCCTTCTCCAATTCTTCCGTTTTCAAATAGTCTAAATAAGTAAATTTTTGCTTTTAAAATCTTCCATAACAACATAAAAGAAAAATGAAAAAAACGAACCCCAAACCAAACGAGCGATATCCTTTTTGAGAACTACAACATCCATCACGATGAAAGTGGTGAGATTTTTCTCAAAGCTTAGTTTATAAAACAATTTTAAATGGTTTTTTATTCCTTTGTGTTCCGTTTGCCTTTTCTTCTTGAATTTCTTTTACAATCTTTACATATATTCTAATACGTTTACCGTTCTTCTGGCGTATTTATTTACCCATTGTAGAAAATGTTTTAAAGAACAAACTCTCATGCAAATTGTTTTATTTTTATTATTAAATCTATGAAGAAAAAAAACTGGTGCTTTTTTATCACAAAATATTTGCGAATTACTTTTTAGCGTCGTTTTTATATGATGCTGCTTCTTGTGTATTATTTGCCGCTATTTAGTATTATTGCTATTTACATTACTGTTGCCACAAATCTAAGGCGTAACCTCAGGTGCAATATCAACAGAAAGTGGCGATTGTTACAGCTAAACAGCTAGACAAATTTTCAATTGTTTTTATTATTCCCAGGATTTAAACGTATCGTAAAATGACAAGTTTATCATTACTATGTAATCAGTGTGTATGGCTAGAAAATTTAAACGTAGTTTACTTTTATGTATCTCTTTGATATTGGCATTGTCTTACAAATTAGAAATCAAATAAATTATTTTTTTTAATATAGCTTTATTAATATTACATTAACGGGTTTAGAAATTCCTCTGATGTATCTTACGATCTTTATTATTTCTTAACTCCACTCTCATATCGTATGTAAGATTGCTATGAAGCATAAATAAGAGTTACGATAAACTGTTCAATGACTATTTTGCGTGAAAATATTAGAATAAAATCTTTCTTGTTTTCCTCTTAAAGTTATCAAATTTATTAACTTTTTATTTAATCAAGAAGATGGGTAGTAAAAACAAGAAGAAGAAAGATGTTTCACAACAAAAGGAATCAGTAAAATCCGATGAAGTTACGCAAAAAATAGACAATGAAGAATTAGCGGCAACGGCAGATTTAGGCGAATGTAAGAAAAGCTACCGAAAACGAAAAAAGCATTACTTTAATGCCATACGACAACAAATGGAGTTTTATTTTGGTGATGCTAATTTAACTAAAGATCGTTTCCTTAGAAAATTGATAGATAAGGATCCATGTAAGTGGGCTTACGTTTACTTGTAATTAGATATATGACTCCTTAATTTCATATTGGTTATTTCAAGATGTTCCTTTGGATTTGTTTTTAACATTCAATAAAATAAAATGCTTATCTGCTTGCGTAGAGGATATAGTGAAATCTTTACATAAATCTGACTTGTTAGAAGTAGATGACACACAGAAAAAGGTAAGACGAAAAACTCCTCTGCCGGAAGACCGCAACGTAGATGAGAAGACTTTGTATGTCGAAGCATTGCCACCTAATGCTGATCATGAATGGGTACGTGGAATTTTCGAAAGATTCGGTAACGTTACTTACGTCTCTTTGCCCAGATATGCAAAATCAAGAAAAATCAAGGAATTTGGCTTCATTGAATTTGAAAAGGAAAAAAGCGTCCAAAAAGCTGTGAAAGCATTCGCAGAATTCAATGGAGTTTTGTGTGCCTTAGAGAAAGATCCAGCTGACTTAGCTAGTGTCAGGGCTTACCTTCGAGAACAAGAAGGTGAAAAAGATATTATTGAGCACACTACGGAAACTTCACAACAAATCAATTCTAGGAAACGCCGAGCTTCGGAGGCATTTAATGATGATTCAGAAATTAAAACGAAAAAACTTAAATATGACTCCGCAGATGAAAACGTAGCTTCGGTCAGCGTCACCAGTCAACAGTCCTGCCTAAAGACTGAAAACGCTTCTATTGTTACTGATGAAGAGTTTAGAGAGCCAAATGAAACAAACCAAAAGAAAAAGAGCCGTAAAAAGAAAAACAAATCAAAAATCGCAGAAAAGTTGAAAATTCAAGCTGAACTAAGCACTGATGTCGCTTATTATGAATTAAAAATTTTACCCAAAAGAGATTGGAAACGTTTGCGCAACAAATACTTAAATTTGCAAAGAGAGAGTGTGGCCGAATTGAAACGTAAGGCCTGGAGAGAACAGCAGGAATTAAAACATCAGCTAAGAGACTCAAATAATGACGACTCCAACTCACAGTTGATGACACAACAATCACCACATAAAATAGTAAAGACTCCAGATCACAAACTTCAGAGAATGAACATGAACTTTTATGGAGCAGGAGAGGATGAAGCTAAGACGAGTTCCGGACTATCAAAGTTACCCCTTTTTAGTTATGAACCTGGTCTTATAGTTGAAATTACGCTGCTCGAGCCATGCGTTAGTGTTAAAGAATTTAAAGAGGAAATGCGTCAGCACAGTACCGTAAAATATGTGGATATTAAAGAAGGTGCGACGCAAGCCTATTTGCGATTAGATAGTCCAAACGGAGCTTTGGATTTCGTCCAACAAATTGCTTGTGCTGAATATCAATGTAAAATACTTTGTGGCGATGCTGAAATGGAATATTGGAGAAAAATCGAAAAAGATCGCGCACAAAAACTTAAAAAATTAATTAAAAGTCCACAGAAGCGTGGACGAGAAAAGATAAAAAAGTTAATAAACAAACATTTGCGTTTTGAAGATGACGATAACGAGGATGGCGATAACTATGCAAGAGAAGATTAATAAATATGAAATGAAGAATTTGTAAAATTTTATTAAAAATATTTTCTAAAGTTTCTTTATTAACAATAATCAGTGAATTTCATATTTGTAACTTATATTAATTAATCTAGACCATGCTTATTTTCTCTTTATTTGTTTATTTTTTTTATTTTCTATGTTAAACATTAAATATACAGAGAACCATCAGCCGGTCCAAGGTAATGGAGTGATATTAATACTACATCAATTATAGTCCATACACCCAGACCTCCAAAACTGAATAATTTACCTATACCTTCTTGCCAGTGACCCAAATAGAAACGATCCGCACCAAAGCCACCCAACGTAAGACTTATAATTACGGCAGTACTCCACCGATAGCCTTGCGTCCAATTGCATTTAATATTTCTTGAAAATGAACGATTACCCAAACAAAATACGTCTGAATTGACGGTGCAATTGGTCTTGTAATACTGACCGTTGACTGAATTGCAGTTACCCTTTAAAACACATTTCTGCTGCCACTTTTCTGTTTGGTAACAATAGCGGCAATTCATTTGATGCCAAAACCATCTACTGCCAAGGCACTCTACATGATAAAGAGCACTGCAATTTACATACACGTCTTGTCCATAGTGACAAGTGTAGTTATAAAGACAACGTATGCAGGGAAAATGTAATTCATTACAACTGGTATTGGCGGAATTTTGACATAGTGACACATGTTGTGTAGTTTCATTGAAATTCCTTAGTATATAAGGCGCTACTTCATTACTATTGCCGTTGTCATTTGTTGATGCTTTTGTTTCAGCTTCATCTGTTTGACTTTGTCGTATGCCACTTAACACAAAAATCCATACTAACGTTAAAGCGGAACGGCGATTTATTACCACGCATCGCTGCATTTGCGTAATTAATTGATTTAATTAAAATTTCTTTGCTTAAAATACGAGTTTTCCCTTTTGCCTTGCCTTGAAATTAAAATGCTAATTGCACGATATTTTTTTTCAATCATCTGTTAGTCAAATTGTTTATTTTGGTTGCCGAAAACAGGGTTGTCTTTCTTACACCGTATATTTGACAAAAAAAAAAAAAAATAAATAAATAAATGAAAATACAATTCAACGTAATAATTATTAATCAAATAAACTCAAAAATAATGCAGAATACGGTCTTCAACTCTCCTAATTAAATCACTATATTTCGTCGTATCGAATAAAATTTCACAAGCTTAATTAAATAATTAAGAAGCGCCATGAGTCTGCAAAAGCAAAATGCCGGGATTTGTACATTATTTTTTTAAGTCTATACGTTTACATTCGCAATCACATTACACAAGCATATCAGTTGCATTTCGGACTATAAATTTTGCTTAGTGTAAAATATCTCCATTATCTGAGATTGCAATTATAATCGTGTTTGAAAACATTAGATGATAGGAGAAAAAACATTTATATTGACAATGAATGAACCTGAATTTGTCAGTTGTTTCTCAAACTTGTTTAACTACATCTCGTTTGTAGTCGAAGTTCTAAATCAAGTTTGAATCCTTTAATAGTCTATTTTACAAACGATATAATAATAATGGGCCTTAGTTGGGAATTAAGTGAAAACGAGTTAATTAAAATAGCAAAAGAATTTACCAGACTAGAAGGTGAGTAGAGCTGAAGAAAGAGTTAAAGAATCTAGTCATGTTGTACATACGTCGACATGTCGCTGTTATTTGGTATATTAATTTATTGAATTTAAAATAATACTATTACCTTATCTCATACCGATTTCGTGCATAAATTCACCAGCAAAAAAGTGTAAGTGTTACAGATTATAATTAACTGACGGTATCATTAACTGCAATCTCTTGCATCGCAATGTACACAATTAATAAACTCGTGTATATAAATGATTAGCATTTAAAAAACACAAGAACAGAGAGAGGGGGAAAAACTAAATAATATTTAAATTATTTTATTATAGACAACACATATTTAGATCATGCCGGAACTACGTTGTATACAGAAAGTCAAATAGAAATGTCGAGCACGTTGCTTAAGAAGAATCTTTTTTGCAATCCTCATTCTTGTAAAGAAACTGGTGATCTGCTAGATCAAGTTCGATTTCGGTAAAATATTATTGCAGCTTATAGCAAGTATTTTAAATAAATTAAGAAAATAAACAAAACCTTTTCGTTACAGAATTCTACGTCATTTCAATACAAACGCTAATGAATATTCCGTTATTTTTACTTCAAATGCTACCGGTGCTTTGAAATTAGTAGCAGAAACATTTGATTTCGGCAATCCTGAACCAGGCAGCTTCTATTATTGTCAAGAAAACCATACTTCCGTATTGGGCATGCGTGAGGTTGTACAAACCGCTAATATATTTGTTCTAACCAAAGATGAAATTCTTCAAAATTTAGAAGCAAAGAGTTCGCCGACACAAACGAAGAACCTTGGAAACTCTTTAATCGTTTTTTCAGCTCAATGTAACTTCAGTGGCTTTAAAATGCCTCTAGAACTCATTGAACGCATACAAAAGTTTGGTTTGGCTAATAAAGGCCAACAAGTTGCAGGAGAAAAGCAATCGATTAAGCAAAAAGATTTAAGCAAATTTTTTGTATTCTTGGATGCTGCTTCTTATGTCGGTACAAATTATTTAGATTTAGACATATATAAACCAGATTTCGTTTGTGTCTCCTTTTATAAAATGTTCGGGTTTGTAGTTTAATGAAAACAATTCCGTATAGAAATTTTATTTGAATCCTGTTCCACAGATATCCAACTGGTATTGGAGCTTTATTAGTAAGTAAAAGGGGCCAGTCGTCAGTTTTGAAAAAACGTTACTATGGCGGTGGTACTGTCAACATATCTATGGCTAGAGAAACCTTTCATGAGAAACGATGCGATATTTCTGCACAATACGAAGACGGCACTTTGGCTTTTCTCACTATAGTGTGCTTGTTAGATGGTTTCAGAACTTTAGAAAGACTCATACCAGCCACGTCTCACTTAAATACCATGGAGAGGATAAGTTCATATGTCTTTCAACTCGCCAGATATTGCCATGATCAATTGAGTACTTTAAGATACAATAATGGTAATTCAGTGGTAGAATTCTACAATCACAATGGTTATCACAGCAGATCGCAGCAAGGCGGTATAGTTACCTTTAATATTCTACATGAGGACGGTTCTTACGTTGGTTTTGCCGAGGTAGCTTGTTTGGCGTCTGTTTATAATATACATATACGTACTGGTTGCTTTTGTAATCCCGGTGCCTGCCAATGGTTCTTAAAACAAAGCAATTCCGATATACGTAAGCATTATGAATTCGGTTTCAAGTGTAGCGAATACGTTGACTTGATTGATGGAGTGCCTACAGGAGCCGTCAGAGTTTCGTTAGGTTATATGTCACGTGAAACGGACATAGATGACGTTGTCAACATGATAAAAGATTGTTATTTATCCCCACCGCAACGTAGACTAGACCGTATAAGTAGTAAAGATTTACCTTTAGCTCTTCAGCACATACCTATACGTTTGCAACCCCATCTGAAAGAGATATGCATTTATCCCATCAAATCTTGCGGTTCTTTTAAACTATACGACTCGTGGCCTTTGCATCCGACGGGTTTCCTTTATGATCGTGAATGGATGATAGTAAATGCCTCTGGTATGGCCATAACTCAAAAACATGAGACCAGATTGTGTTTAATAAAGCCATACATTCAATTGGAAAATGGACGTTTGCTATTAACTTTTCCCGACATGCCTACCGTAAGCGTGCCTTTGGATATGTCGTTTCAGGGCAACTACATGTTAAGTTCTACTTTTTGCCAAAGTAAAGTTTGCAACGATTATGTGGGAGGTTTAGATTGCGGCGATGAAGTGGCTTGTTGGTTAAGTGATTGCCTAGAAATGTCGGGCTTAAGGTTGATTAAGCATGATCAGAGACGCAATCAAGATGGTGTAATTAAGGACATAGCTCTAGTTAATCAGAGTCAGTTTCTTTTAATAAATCGTTCTTCGGCAAGATGGCTAGCTCGGAAAGTCGCAATTGAAAAAGAACCTTTGGACTCCACAATAGATCGTTTTCGAGCCAATCTTATTTTAGAGACAGTCATGCCGTTAGAGGAAAATGATTTCGAATTTGTTACAATAGGGAATATCACTTTCAAAGTTGATGGCTTTTGCACGCGCTGTCAAATGATTTGCATTGATCAACATACGGGTCAAAAGACTTCAGAGCCTTTACGTACCATTGCACGGGAATTCAATGGGAAAATACGTTTTGGTATTTATCTCTCTTTCGCAGAGGTCCCTCCAGCTAACGCGCGACTATCATGCAAAGATAAAATAGTGATAATCAAGCACCAAAAAGATATTAATTAAAAATAAAATCAAAACCTAATGACTCACCAAATTACCAACTCAGAAATTATTCTCGGTTACTTTTTTCTAGTCTAAAAATTTACTTAATAAAATTAAATACCGAGATACTTGATTTTATTGGCTTTTTTTGCTTTGCAGTTTGTTATACAATTGTGCAATTTTCTATAGGCTGTTCTTTAATTTTTAATAGCGGTAATCCTTTTTCCGCTCTTTCAACATTCTCCAGAACACTTTGATGCTGCGGAAAAGCTAGCGTTTGTAACTTTGAATGCACCAAAGTATCATCTATTTTTACCTCAAACGAACCTTGTCGGCCCTTGTGACATACAATTTCAGCATCGGGTTTTTGCTCATTCAAAAAACTTTTCAACATTTTGCACTGCCACTCGAAGTTACATTTGCCGCTAATTAGAAAGTTGTGAGTTCAAATATGCTTTTCCTTTCCAGCAAATAAACTACTTTACCAATATTCTACGTCAACTTTCACCATTTTTGTCAATTTATAGCTATCGGATCGTTTTTAATGAAATATTGACTAAAAATACAAATGGTATCGCACTCTGCTATCGGCAATCAGCCGTTATTGCTCATTAGAGAATTTCTATTCTAAAATATCGTAAAGTATTTGATTTTCGCTTTAGCACCCCATTTACGATCATTCAAAAATTATCTCAAATCAAGTCATTTCATCTATTTTCCCGATCTTCTCTTAATTTTGATCTTTCACTTCGTTAAAATTACTTCTCGGATACAGCGATATCAAAATTGCACACAGCCGCTATAATTTCAAAAAGTGGTGGAGTGGCTCTCGCTACACACGCGAGTAAAACAAAATATTGGACTAAAGAAATGAATACTTTCGCGTAGTAAGCAAAATTATAGTAACAATGCCAGCAATACCAAAATAATGCGAAGTAAACAAAGCAATCCTCCCTTTTTTACTTAAATTAGTTTCATGTTAGCTTCATAGAGGTCTCTCTAAGTTTAAGTGACAGTTGTCAAAAATCTTTTTCCACCTTCGTTGTCTTTCTTTGAAATACGGCCGCAGGGTAATAGCTTAACAGATTTGGTTAAAATTTCAAATTGATTTAATTGTGAAATTCTAATTACACACAATCGGTTTGCGAAGCTATGGAGAAGTGGTTAAGGGAAGGACTATTGCATTGCCTGGGTTTTCAAGTGCCTGATGATATGATTAAATATATAATGGCCATGAAATCCTCGGAGGAGTTTGATGAATACTTTGAAACATTACTTAGCAAAGAATGTGAGCAACATCGTTTGTTTTTGGCTGATTGCAAAAAGCGTTTATTCAGTAAAACTTTGCCGAACAAAAAAATACTGCAGCAACAGCAAAGCAATTCAAAAAAATCTCAAAATTCAGGCGCATCATTGTTTAAACAAAATAGCTCGGCGATGGTAAAGCATGGAGTTAATAGTTCACAGCAGCATCAAGGAGCTAAAAAGAAGGCAAAATTTGTCAATCTATATACCAATGATGGTAGCGTTGCTCCTGAAACCATTATGTTAAAGGGGCGTCGTTCATGCAAATGTCAAGCATCCCAGCATAAACTAATTAATAATTGCTCGAGTTGCGGTCGCATAGTATGCGAACAAGAAGGTAGCGGTCCCTGCTTATTTTGCAATGAGCTAGTATGCACCAATGAGGAATTGCAGATCTTGAAGGGCTCAGGTAAAAAGAGCGAAAATCTTTTAAAATCTTTAAAAGAAAAGGGAGGTGGCGAATCTCTGAAACAAGCTTTAGAGCAACGAGATCGTCTTCTAGAGTACGATCGTAATAGTGAGAAACGTACCACGGTTATCGATGACGAACTTGATTATTTCGAGGAGAATTCGGTGTGGCATTCGGATGAGCAACGAGCTCATTTTGAACGACTTAAGAAGGAAATGCATGAACGTAAACATAGCAGTCGCATTAATCGTGTAATTAAAGTCGATTTTGCAGGACGGGCAGTAGACGACGAAACAACTATTACAGAGGAGTATGAGCGTGCAATGTTAGACGAAGTTGCCCAAATAAATGCTGAAACACCTTATGTAAATAATTGGCATAACAAAGAAAATATAAGGCGAAGTTTGGATAATTCCGGTAGTTCCGATCCCAAATTAGAATTTGTCAGGCCAATTTATAAACCCCCACAGGACGAGAAAATGCAAACTAATAATAATATTTTAAATGGTATATATTTAAACGATGGCTTGGAAAGAAATTATAATCGTGTGCAAGATAAGGAACTGCTAGAAATGCAAGATATGCGTCTGTGTTTATCCCTCCATCAGCCCTGGGCCTCTCTCTTAGTAGGAGGAATTAAAAAGTAAACGATATTAAATTTCATTCATTTTCGATTAATATTTCATTTTTGATACAGGCACGAAGGACGCACCTGGTATAGTGAACATCGCGGTCGTTTATGGATAGCTTCCACTGCAAAAGAGCCGCGCCCTGAAGAAATCAACGATGTGGAGAATTTCTATAAACGATATTATAATGGTAATTTTGACTTGTGTTTACGAATTAATTTCCTTTTTGGATCGTTCTTTCAATTCAACAGGACGGCAACTTAAATTCCCGGAACATTATCCCACCGGTTGCTTGTTGGGTTGTGTTAAAATTGACGATTGTTTACCGCAAGAAGAATATCGCGAGTTCTACCCCAACGGGGAATTGGAATCGCCTTATGTCTTCATATGTTCGCATCCTGAACAATTGCCGGTGGTGTTTCCCATTAAGGGCCAGTATAAAATTTGTAAAATAAATTCAATTTCGAATCGAAGAAAGACTAAGTAAATATTATTTCCGTTACAGACGAAATTGATGCCAAAATACATAACGCCGCCTGCAAAACTTTGATGCGTACAAAAGCCAATTTAACAAAGATTAACAAAGAGTAAATTATTGTGCGGTGGATTTAATATGAAAATGTTCGAAATTTATTTTAATATCAACTCAGTTCCACGACAAACGGTCATCTCATCTGTACATCGTAATTTTGCAAAATAGTTATGAATTCGTTTAAATCTATGCCGGTTAACGATTTTAAGTACTCTGTTGCATTTATTTGCAAAGTTTCCGTATGATTTGTAGCATGACATAAACCTTGAATATCGCACCAATAAAAATTTTGTCCATTCACCAGTAAAGTGGCGTTGCGTATCGTTACTTTTAAATCGGGTTTACGACGCAGTAATTCTTTCCTTAAAACCAAAAGTTTCTCTCTCCGTTTACGTTGAAATAGCGATAATTCTGGTTCAATAAATATGCCGGAATTTTTCAATTTATATGATTGAGCGAAAATCTTGCTAGAATCCTGTTCATGTTTTAATTCCAATAAAACTGTCTCTTTAGCTGTATTAGATATGTTGGTTTTGGAAGTGGAAGGTAATACTGTGACATTAAGTAAGGGAATTCCTTCCAAACCTAATCTTTGTTGTAATAAAGTTTCTACAGCTTGTTGTGGTTGCGAAGTATCTAAAATTCTTAAATTCTTAATCAGGATCTTACGTTGATTCAATGAACGTTCCATTGTGTAAAGTTCACAATTCATTTTATATTTGCTGGCTTGTAGTTGTTTCACTAATAAATTTAACGATTTACTTTCACTTTTTAACAAATCAATTTCTTTTCTCAATTCGGTGATAGACGCGAGATTAAAGTCCGCAGTGGGTGTCTGCTTTTTTCCCATTGCTTCTTCCACGACTTTAGATAAATTCTTAAATTCATTTTGGGTCACGAACTCCTTCAGTTTTTCATTCATCATTTCACCAATTAAATACAAGGTTTTCTGCGATAAATCTATTGCGTTCGTCTCTCTTTCCTTTATGCTGCCGTCGTCAGCAGAACTCGCCGAGTGTGGTTGTGTAAATGATGCCAATTTTTGAGGTACCGATTCTTTAGAACTGTCATATAGTTCGCCATTTTCCGAAGAATTGGGCATAGTCTCTGCGTCAGGTTCAGAAATTTCAGAATTTCCCTCCTCCTCTTGAATTTCAGACGCTTCCAGAAATATTGAAGCATCAAAAGCCGATGAATGATTTTCTAATAAATCGCCATTATTCGATACTGCTGCTTTTGGTAAGGAAATTTTTTTTGTTTGATTGCCGCCAAGTAGAGTTGGAATCACTCCAGTTCTTATGCGGTGTATTTTGTAAGTGTCGTACATTTTATTTATTTCAGGATGAGCTCGTTTCATATGTTTGATAAAATTTGAGGAAACGTTTTTGCTACCTTTCACCACAATGCCACAACTGTAGCAACGAGCACTTATCGGTCCTTTATGTGCTACCAAATGTAAATCATCCAACTAATTACGAGAAACAATAAATTATCTACATACTTCACTTCAATATTTGAATTATAGAGATTTTGTTTTAATACTTACCAGTTGAAAAAAAGGAGCATTGAATAAGATATTACCTTCTCCGCGTCTATATTTTTTTGGTGGAGGAGTGGCATCATTTGTATTGCTCGGATATTCTAGCACAGGTATTTGCGGTTGGTGTATGGCAAACAAATCAAAATCATTAGGTATAGTTGAAGACATAGTACCTAAATGCCTTTGTTCTTGCTGACATTGCCCACTTGGAAGTCTATGTTGTATTTCCTCAAAATCTCGTTTTCCATTATTTATTCTATTTTCAGTTTGATTTTCTTCGGCAGGATTTTGTGATGATGCTTCATAAAAATCATCACAACTTTCATACTTAATTAATGGTTCCATAGCTTTTCCTTGATATATTACATTGCTGTGAATGCACTCGAATTTGTATTAGTATTAGTAATTGTCACATTTGTCACATAAGGCTTCGTAATTGTAGCCATTTTTAAATTTTGTTTTGTTTTGCAAAATCAATGGACATTTTTCTTATTTCTTGTTAATACCGTAACTATTTTAAAGTTAGCTATTATATCGTAAAATATCGGTTATAATAGTAAAAACGACTAATTGTTAATGATGAAGAAAGATTTGCAAATAAACTTTAATTCGCTCTTACATACTCATAATTAATATAGTTTAGAGAGAGGGTCAGTACTTAAAAAAATGTGTGCAAAGAATAATAGGGTCAATTAAAAATAAGAAAATTTATATACATTAATATTGAAAAATCCGCAAACTGAATTTATAAACCATTTAGTTAACCACACTGTTTCAGGTGGATGTCAAAAACAAACTCGAATGTTAGTCGCAAAAGCAATTTTCAATATAAATAATAAAATTTGTAAGATTTATTTTGCGGTTCCCCACAGCATCCTTTTCCGAAAATTTGAAAAAATAATTCGTTCGAACAGTAAATGAATGGAAAAATTAACGAATAAAATAAAAAAAGTGATAATAATATAAAAAAGTGGCAAAAAATGTAGAGTAACATTTTGAAAAGAAAAAGTTTATTCGTACAAAACAAGCAAGCGAAGGTGAAGAAACAACAACTAAATGCGTGAACTCTGTGAGAAAGAAGAATAATAAAAAAAAAAAAATTATGCTAACTGACAGTAAACAAATCGTAAGTGGCACTTCGAAGAATTCGCTTATAATCGACCTAAAAAGTTCAAAATTATAAAAATACATTATAAAATAGAAAATTAACGGTTAAGTATTTATATATAATACATATGTATATATTTCTATTTTGAACGTAGTACGTGTTATCTGTGTATGTGTTTAAAAGTATAGTTAATAAACTACATTGTATAAGTATGAGTTACTAGAAGAAATGCTCTCTTAACGGTTCAGCTCACATTTGCCTTTGTTGTTATTATAACTACGTTAAATAAATGTTACGAATGATTATGAGGGGGAACAAGCTCTAAAATTTCATTTGGAGCTGTCACAACAGTCTCGCGCCTTTACTGAGTGCTAGCGGTACGTTTTGCTGCTCTGGTTTTATATGTGTCTATGCATCCGCCGTAATCGGTATCAATACATCATTCATCTCGGTTTAGAAACATCTTTAATCATTTTTTATCTCTTGCTAAATTAAAACAATGTAAATGTGTTTGTGTATGTAATGAAAAAACTTAAAGGAAAGAAAATACATATATACTACATGTGCAATTAAACAATTTTTAATTTGAGTAAGTCATTTATTAAAATCTTAAATAATAATAATAATAAATGTTTATTATTTCATAAATAGCAACGTTTTCATATTAAGTGAAAGTTCCTCTTGCCATCGATGCAAATTGGGAATTTACAAAATGTTTGTAACACCTATTGTGTAAAACCTTAAAAAAAGTGTAAAGTCTTGTTTATCTATATGAGTGCGTACATAATTTTTGCCGTCCGTCTCTTTTTAATTCGTGATTATACCGGTATATTTGTGATGTGTTCATAATTTTCTAAAGCCAGAGACAACATCGTCAACCGCCTTCAAATTATTGATGTTTTACTTTACGCCTGCGTTCGCAAAAAAACAAAAAAAATTAAATAAATAAATAAGAAATAGAAAAAAAACAACAACCACAGCGATTGCAAGTTCATCATACTTTCGTAGTCCTCTCTTCTAAGTATTTGGCAATAACATCCACCTTTTCCTTTAACCTTTGTTCGTTTATAATGTATCGCATCGGACCCATAGGACGCAAGTCCAATCTGCATTATCGGGAAAAATGTCTAATTGGTTTGGTATTGGCCACATTGTGTTTGCTATGTTTTGCCGGAATATTCCTCTTGCCAGATAACTTTGGCAGTGAACGTGTCTTACGTGTATATAAGCAATTTCAAAAAGCCGGCCCTGAAATATTCATACCAGCACCGCCTTTAGCTATGCACGGGTCGAAAGATAACGATCCTCATTTTTTAGATGATCGTCAAAAGCTGGAGGCTAAAATTAAAGAAGAATTAGGTGAAATTCTAGACAGACCACAACTCCAGCAGAATCAAATCGCGAACGACGAGTCACCCCAACAAGCCGACGATAATGATCAACAACAACAGGGTGCTGCTCCTCCCCATTTGGATACTAATGGCGTTGTTATTGGCACTTCGCAGACGGCCGATCCCACTCATAACGATGATTTACCAGTTTTAGACAACAACAATTTACCAGTGGGAAATGTTAATATACAATTACCTTTGGGTGGTCATGCGGATAATGATGCAGCCGCTGAGGAGAAACGGATAAAAATTAAAGAGGTAAGTTACATAATAACGCTTTTTAATTAGCTTTTGAAATATTATATATTAAATCCTTTCATATTGATAAGCTAATAGAACGCCGATATATAGTATTAAGTAATTATCGAAATAAGTTATCTTTGCTTCTAATGCTCAGCAGAGGCTGCTAAGTTAAAAAGCATTCCCTTTAATGTATGTACATTTTGAGGATTAAACAAACGTACAATTTCAAAGGCATATGTCAAGAAGATTAAGATATGGTAGAGGTATGACATTAAATGAACATCAAATAACAATTGACATAAATATATGCAAAAATAATAAATTAGCCGTAATTATAGGGCAGAAGGCAATTATGTTTTAAAGTAGTATTGAAGTCTCATCAAAATATCTTTCAATTCATCAAACTTGCAATTCGGTAGAACAGTTGAAAAGTCATTTATAAAACTTACTTCTATTCCTTCAACAATTAAAACATTAGCGCTCAAGAGACGCAATAGTTAAACAGATGATAAAGATAAAATAATCTCTTTAAAGGACTGTGTAGCGAAAAGTAATTAATTTCGATTTTGCGTCGAAGCGGGCTCTGCAGTCACAACAATAGTATTACAAAAACTAGAACGCGGGAGCCCAGAACACATTTCGTACGTTACTTTTCGTCAATTTCGCAGTGCGATTTAATAAAGTCAATATGGCGACATGTGTTTCAAATCCTTTACAATTGTTTTTGCCTGCAAACACCCAAACGGATATCTCACAGAGGCGCAAGTCTATCAGTTTAATCGATCATTGCCGAAACTTTCGTGGTGGCAGAACTTTGGAAATTTGGAAAGAAAAACAAATGAAAAATCATAAGTGGATAGTTATTAAGAATTGAAGGGAAATTATGCGCGTATATAGTCTTCGATTAACAAATCGTTTACAATAACTAATATGCTAAGCGTGATTTGCGATTTGCGATTTGCGGCTAGCGAAACTCAATTCCTTATTATATGCCTATCAGGAAAGGAAGACTTTCATTTGCAATATATCGATAAATGCGTATTGCAGATACCACAAAGAACATAGATGACGGACGCGCCGAGGTCAAAAATGATCGTATACAGTTTCCGTGTTATGTATGAGAGCCGCGACTTTCCAGCTTCAAAATAAACAGGTTAATAATCGCAATTAGAGTGTCCTATCTGAGCATTCAATGCACAAGCAGCATTGGACTCAGAAGGTATCCAATTTGTGTACTTGAAAGGGGCAAACTAAGTCATAAATATTATATCCATTGCCCCCGCTCTCATCAAGTTAGTTGAGCTTGCAGGCCAAATAGGAAAAAGTTCAAAGACTCGGCTCATAAATTCCAACAAATTGATTTGGCAAAATATGTCGCAATGATTTTGGACAATTATTTGAAAGATGTTTTGCAAAGAGTAGAGGCTCAGGTGCTGGATAGATCATTACCCTTTAATTAATTAAAAAAAAAAAAAAAAAAAAGTATTAATTATGAAATTTGTTTTATCCAAAGAAGAATGAATACAAAGTCTGCTCACATTACGTTCGATGTTTTGGTAGTATGGTAAATTGAAGCTTTCTCTGCCCTAAAGTTTGATACATACAACATACTTGGTACTAAAATGAAATTTCTTTTTACATTTCATTCGACATCGTTGCGATTAAGCCGAAAGGCGGTTTAGGAAACAGAAAAAAAAAAAGAAAAGGAAAAGGCAGGGAAAAGCGTTAAAGATATAATGTATAATAAAGAGAATAAATGGCAACTCATCGAAAATCAAGTTTAAAATAAATGAACTTGACCATGTGTTGTTGCCTCTCCCTGTATGTTTGTGTGTATGGGTGTGTGTGTGTGTGTGTAAATTTCAAGTTGATTATGCACAGTAGAAAAAAGTAATATATGAATATTGCAATCAAATTACGTAACAAATTTTTTGATAAGACCTACAAGTATATCGATGTTGTCTGATCGCTTGCTTCTCATAGCGACTATGTAATGCAGTTTTAAATTAACGAATAAATAATGAAAATTTTCCCGTCGTTTGATTATAATTGCTATCCCAGCTTAGGCTTAATTCGTTTATATGTTTATTTAATTATATCGATATATGTCGCGGTGGCCATCGATTTTGAATTGCGTAGCAAATGCTATAAGTTGATGTATTGATGGTTATTAAAGCTTAAGCATACTTGAATAAATCAGGATAAATGATTATAATGTTGAAGGTGCAAATCAATTCGGTCCGATTCGGTAAGAGCGAGTGGTTGCAGTTAGTATTGATTGTAGGGCATACAATAAAACTGTGATTTCTTCATTTGAAACGATTGTCGTCTTTTAGGTTTACGCAACTATATCAGTTATCACACGAACCCATACATAGCATAGTTTCTTGCAGCTTTGAATAGATGTAGTTTTGTGCAAGAAAAATGATATGCGAGCAATTTTGCTCTTCCTGATTAATTCAGAGGATAGTGTGGCTAAATCTTTACAAGAGACGAGTAGTGTACATCCGACAATATTCAAAGCGTAAATAAAAATAATAGAGAGTATATGCGAACCAATAATGGCGACGATAGAGCTGAATAATAAGAAACACCATAGTGGGTCACGGCTCACCCTTAATTATTCTACGCTTATTTATTTAGCTTGTGGCAAGTGGTGGAGAAAGTGATCCGAACCGAACAATTTTCAATTGAGTTCGCTCTTGGCCCCAAAACAGTGGAAGTGTCAGTGGAAATTATTACAAAACATGTCAAAAATTGGACCCGGCCTGTAGGTTGAACACAAGAAAGCAAAGTAAACAGAAGGACAAATGGCCAGATTTACAGACAAGCTTAGAGGAGTTTCAGAATATAATTCTGAATCGATTCATAGGTCTATCTCAAACCCAATTGGGTGTTTGCGTATATTCGCACAAACTTAATATACCCTTATGTCACTACTTGTGAGTGAGGGTATATTAAGTATGACAAGCGTAACAACAGTGATAATGTGTATTAAGTGATAAAGGTTGCGGTGAGCTTAGCCTGAATTTTACACATTATCGAAACAATAATGTCGTGTGTTCAAAAAAATTGTTACTAAAAAAAAAAAAGGAAAAGAAAAAAGAAATGCAAATGCGGTTAAGACGATAATATATTTAAATAATAAACAATCGTCACATTTTTATTTTGTCTAGCGACGTTAACTTTTTTCTTTTTTTACAAATTTTTTATTAAGGATATACTCTGCTTGACTAGCGGCGTGTTGCCTTATCTCATTAAATACCCATACAGGAGATGTTAAAATTTTTCCAAAAGTTTGTTGCAAATTCGCCACAAAGATGCAATAAATTCTGTTCATCACCTGCTCATTGGCATAAATTGTTTTATTACTTAAGCATTACTTTTTTCACTTATCGAAATGTATTAGAGCAGCCGTGAGGAGGGAGCAAATACAGTTGGGGAGATTGCGGCCGAATTTAGAAGATAGAAGAATAGTTGATCCTTTGCAAACAGTATTGGAATTTCCATTGCCTCTCTATGGAGTGATAGACTTAAGGGATAAGTGCATTGTGACAGCCTAAGAAAAAAGTATTTTTTTTTTTTTTTTTTGATGGAGGAAAGGTAATAGAATAATATCTGACGATGTTTTTTTTGTGTGTATGTAAGTATGAAAAAAAAAAAAATTATTCTGCAAATATATTAACAGTGGGAATAGTACCGCCATTCTCTGGAGACATCTTCAGTCCAATAGGCTCTGCGATCCGCAAGGGTATCCGGTGAGGAGATTACATTCCCACTACTCATTTTCTTACTATTCATTTTATTATGCTATATGGTTTTACGGTTCGTCACATGACAACTACGACGTGACGACGTGACTGCGATAGAATTAATTTTCCACACTTTACTTCACTTAGATGACATTTTATTTAAAAATACAGTAATTTGTCGAACAACTTATTTAAGGCTTTTTAGTCGCGTTCTCCTCCCTAAGTCTCCTCCGTGACGTGTGTCTTATTTCATTTCGACTTGGCGCACTCATCTTACGGTGCTCTACTCTGCAAGCCCTCTTATTCGACACTTAAACCGACCGGATTATTAAGTCCGGATTATTAATGGCTTGTGCTTTATTTAGAAAAGACGTGTGCGCTGCCATAGTTAAGTCGGAACTAACACCTTGTTTACCTGACGATGTGTCTTCATCTGAAGAATACACAGAATAATTTTAAAGAGTCTGTCTTGTTTACTTTACGGGTAATATTTAGGAAATGTGAAAAAGATGAAAGAAATAAAAATTTGATCACTTACAATTTGTTGTGGGCGTGGTCGTGGTCGTTTTTTTGCATTTTTATATATGAATAGTAGGATCATTTATAAAATTAGCTCAAAAAATTTCAGATTTTTATTTCCCGTAATTTTTGAGAGTGATGAGCAAAAACATTTTGCTTAGGGAAACCGATGTGCTCTCGGTTTAGACTTTAATGTGGGCGTGTCCTTTGAATAATTTGGCCAATTTTCGCGGACTTGCAATGTTTCTGCAAAATTGAAATTGATATCATAATTTTTTCGAGACCAGGAGAGTGCCGACGAAATATACCGCGTAGACACACACAGAGAGCCGAACGGATGGACGGATATAGATAGATTCATTCAGATTTTCACGCCAAGCAGAAATGCATACACTTTACAGGATCCTTGAGACTTTCTTTCGGATGCTGCAAGTTTTATGACAAAATGACTGTATGCTGATCCTTCTGTAAGGCGGCGGGGGGGGGAAATTCCAGATATGGTATTTGACAAAAGCCATGTACAACTCATACAGAATTGATATACTTTTTTATTTTGCTTCAAATTCGTTACAGATACAAACAAACATATGTCTCTTCTTTACGACTAAAATTAATGCTTTTATCCGTAAAGTAATAATTTAGCAACATTTACACAGCTTCACAGAATCGAATGAATTCTATGCAAAATTCCATTTATACCATGAATTTCACATAGAGTGCGATAAGAGTACACAAACTACTCTTATATCTGCTGAATGACGTAGGGTTTCTCAAAATTATTGAATTTTGTGTGATTGGCAAGGATTGAAGTGAAAGTGTACTGACACTGCGATGTTTAATTTTCGAGAGAAACATTTCGGATGAAAATAATGAAAATTGTGTTTGGTGATAAATGCATTTGAAGTTTGGTCATGTGGATTACAATACGTTCTTTTCTATCCATCACCGAAGGATTGGAGAGGTGTAGCCATTTCATCAAAACATTTGCAGCGAAAACCCCTTAAAGTATTGCATATATTCTTGATCAGCATCAAATTCCAAATCGATTTCCGGCTATCTGCTTACTGCTGTAACCTCTATTCGTTGCCGATTTTTATTTTTGTTTGATAAAGTGTAGTGTGATAGACTTATGTGAACACTACAGTACGGTATAGAAATATCGATAATTTTTGCATGGTAGGATGATCATGTGTGTACTCTGTCTCGTTTACAATTAAGCTGCAATTTCTCTCAAGCATTTCTAATAATATCTTTTGCCATAAGACTGGCTTGATTGAACTGAAGCATTGCAAAGAGAATGTTCGTTATTGTAGATTTTAGTGCATTCAGTAATTAAAAGTGTCAGCGATTGATTGCAAGGCAGAGTGCTAAACGAGCACAGAATCCCATACGCAGCGAGAATCCCTATGCAAATACATAGGTATAATGTAATAATGTAGTAAACGACAATTACACAAAATACATATCTATATATTTACATACACACTATAGACTTTCTGCAGCCATGTGTTTGCTTGAATCTGGTCATTTGTTTCATACGAATTGGAGTAAAGTTATGTAAGTTTTTCAATTTACATTGAATGTGTTTAGCTGTCATTCTCCGATTAGAGCTTGTAATTAGCAACCAGTTCATTTGTTGTTTTCAAATATTCTCTACTCACTAAATTTCGTAATGAGAAGTTTACCCTCCCTCTGTAAGATCAATTTGCCACTTACGCTATATGTAACAAAGAAATATGGCGTTAAATTCGTTGCGTCAATCGTTTTGCAATAGTCCAAAAAATAGGCAATCGAAGTCTACGAAGTATATTTGTTACGTTAGCGTAAAATTGCATAATCGATTTACTCTCACGATTTCGCCATATACGTGTATGACAAAAGAGAAAAAAATGAAGAGATAAATTAACAGAAAAACACTTCAGTCAGAACTTTTATGCATCTATAACTAGTAGAAATTTATCCGATTTTTGATTGAATTTATTTCTAAAAGCTTTACAGAGCTTTAGAGAGCTGCATTTTTTTCGTTTTAGCCGGAGTGACCTTTCAAATCTTGCTTCTATGCTGGCCCGTTTAGAATGGAATTTGGCACGTTTTACATCGTTGAAAGGGACATTTATCGATCCAGGTTTTATAACGAACTTAGTCATTGACGGAAAATATGCTTTTGCTTTTTCAATCTTGTCATACTTGACATAGATTTTAAGTCGTAAGTGATTTTACGAGTTCGCTTTAATCAATGCTCTTAATTTATTTTTATCAACGCCCGCTAGTCTTTAAAAACGTGATGCAAAAGCGCCAGCAAACCATTTTTGGTACTTCACATTCTATCCATTCATCGCCTCCATACGCATCCAATCGAATATCATTTTTACCTTTTCGTTAATAATAGAAGCAAAGTACACCGTTTTTCTATGCCAAATTGAGAGCATATGGTGCGCGTGCTGCGTCAAGCCATAAAGTCTATGTTGAATTTACGTTGTAATAACCGCTCAAAAGTCAGCTTTTAAAAATTTTAGGCTTGTACAAGTTCCTCTTCGCTGC